GAGAGAGAGAGAGAGAGAGAGAGAGAGAGAGAGAGAGAGAGAGAGAGCGAGCATGTGGCAGCGTGACACACTCAGTCAGCCGTGAGTCACCGTCCTCAGACCGTGAGCTCTCTCTCCCAGCCCAAAGTCAAACTTTGTCACTGTTAGAATCTGGCTATAATTACTCACTTTAGCACAGTATGTTATAACTTAATCCATTTAAATGACTGATTGTCTTATTCCTTTTTAGATTTATATTATTCCCTTTAGAATTATACTTTTGTTTCAAACTCTCTGGCTGTGCCTCCTCCTCCTCTCTCTGTTACTGTAGATCCTCGTCTTTAAAGTCAATATTCACACTTTCTTATCACATTCCACTGAAACCTGCATGAATTAGGACCTGGCCTGTTCATGTCAGAGCTAACTGGCCAATAACACTCGGTTACGTCCAGCCGTCCTCCTGTTCGAGGCCCAGAGGAAAACTGTCCATCAGACCCGGAAATCGAGGCTCTTTGCTAACTGAGATCCTCCGGGAGCTTTGTCTGTGAGAGCTCAGCTGATTTATTTTGCTTGTGACCAATAAATGTTCTATTTGTACTCTTGATCTATTTGTACTCTCAGGCTTCCCACTAAAGAATCGGGCTAACATCACTTTGTTTCAAAACTCTGCGAAACGGGCTGCTGCTGTGAGTTAGGGGAGATATACCGTGGCTTTTCCTAATTGCTACAGAGCTGCTGCTTTCCCTTCTCACCTGGTGTCCGCTCGGCATTCGGTGCAGATGCTGGAGGAGGTGCACTTCAGGCAGTTCTCGCTGCACGCTCTGCACGTGCTCGTATCTGTTTGGAAACACGTCAGTAAGAAAACAGCTGCCAGGCTGACGGCTTTGTTAGAATTTGGTCATGATTACTCACTATAGCATAGTATGCTATAACATGATCTCTGTAAATGACTTATTGTTGTATTCCTTATAGAACTATCATTTGGTGTTAAAGTCTCTGACTGTCCAAAGACTCTGTTTTCTTTCTCTGATCTCATTAGATGCACACCATTTTTTATCAAATTCCATCAGGTCAACACAAACACTGTTTTTACCACATTTCAAGGTTATCTGCATTAACTAGGACCTGGCCTGTTCATGTCAGGGTTAGGGTTAGTAAAGTAACTGGCCATTAAGCAGTGTTCAGTCTTTTTTGAGGGGTCTGCCCAGCCCAGAAGACAAATACAAATACAAACAGACAAAGGTTTTTGTCTGTTAAAGCCCAGCTGATATACTTAACTGTGTCCAATACATGTTTTATACTTTTGATCTACTCTGGTTTACTCTCAGGTTTCCAACTAAAGAATCAGCTTCATTCAGTTGGAGTGAACTGAGAGAAACTGCAGGGAAACTAGCAATAGGGGAGCAGGACCGTGGTCGGGGTAGTAGCCGTCCCCGCAGGTGGCCGTGCACGTGTTGGCGCCCTCCGTGAGGAAATGGCCCGGCTGGCAGGAGGTGCACTGATCGTTGCGGCTCCCAGTACAGCTCCCGCAGGACGAGAAGCACCTCTTACACCGGCGGCGGTCCCCCCAGAAGCCCCGGGGACAGTCTGTCACGCACACCCTACGGGAGAGGCAGGACAGACGGCATGAACAGAGAACAGGGCTAAGGGGAAACCACACCAGTCTCAGGAGATGTCACGTGCTCTCCGGATCAAGGCTGTGGGATCAGGCCGACCTCGAGTTGTTCTTGAACTTGACGAAAAAGTGGAGGCATGCGACGCACTGCTGGGGGCCCGGCCCCTCGCACCCGTCCTCGTTGCATTCTGGGTCACAGGGTCCTGCAAAGGCCACAAATGGAGCAGAGTGAGTCGGACGCAGGGTCCCAGAAGGGGGTACTGGAAGGGGTACCGGAGGGGGTATCGGAGGGGGTACTGGAAGGGGTACCGGAAGGGGTACCGGAAGGGGTACCGGAGGGGGTATCGGAGGGGGTACTAGAAGGGTTACCTGAAGGGGTATCGGAAGGGGTACCGGAGGGGGTATCGGAGGGGGTACCGGATAGGGTACCGGAGGGGATACCGGAGGAGGTACCGGAAGGGGTACCGGAAGGGGTACCGGAAGGGGTACCGGCTCACCGTCGTATCCCTCGTCGGGGTCTTCGTCACCGGCCGACCGGGCTCGCCGAAGGTGCCTCGGATGGGGCCGCCGGGGGGTGCCGTAGAGCACCAGGGTCCACTCCTCCAGAACCCCTGCCAAACAGCCGAGAACCAGACGGCATGAAACCCGTCACAACCAAAGCCCAATGCATGCAGGGTCCGTATCGTTCGGATGAAACAAAGGGAAAAAGCAAACCTGGCGGAGTGTCTTCTCTTCCTGGTGAGGGAGTGTCTTTGATTTTCAGAGTCCATTCCCCAGCCGCCAGCTCCCCCCAGCAATGAGTCGTCATGAATTCCCAGTTCTGAAATCCCTCGGTGGAGTTGTCAAAAGGCCTGGATCGAAACACAATGAAGCCATGAGCGCAGAGCAACTTCCACTACTGCCTCTCGGTATGGGATTCATTGTTCCCACAATCATCTCTGCCTACATGTCACTATCTTGTGTTAAATTTGCCATTCAAAAGGCTGCAACCGAAGGAGGAAATCCACCAAGAAATTGTTAAAAAATGAGAACTGGACTGAGTACATAAAATCCCTGCTTTAAATTTAGAATAAATTAATAAACTGCAACACTGATTATTGTTGTTTTTTGGTTGTTTCCATGCTTTCAAGCCATTTCACTGGTAGAAAATAGATGAGGAACACATCATGGATGATAGTACAATTCCCCGATGTCCTCTTGGAGCCTTTGCCCTGCAGGTTTTAGATGTTTCCCAGCCTCATCAGACCTGTGCAGAGCTGAAAAATCTTATAAATAGATCAGTTTAACCAGAACAAGGTAAGCTGAAGAACTCCTAAAATACCTGCAACTGTCCCAAAGAGGACCTGAGCTGAACACCTCTGGTGTTAGACATGTGACCATCATCTGAAAATGCTGTCGAAATGTAACTGTCGTTTCACTGTTTACCATTAACATATTGCAAAAAAAAGAGAGAAAAAAAGAAAAAAGATTTAAAAAAAAAATATTAATGATTGATGCTTTTGGAATACGCTCTAAAATCCTGCGAGTCATAAACTCACACCATAAAGTGTGACCTCACGTTTTCCTTCCTGCTGATCTGAATATCATAATTGAGCTAATGAATCTTTCACTCCGCATTCTTACATGGAAAAAACCCTTTTGCTGCTTATTTGTGGAGCGATGTTAAAAAGGAAATTGCATCTTAAAAACTGGCCAGACGTTCTTTTCCAGAGGAACTCGCCCAAATACAAGCTCCCTGGAAACTTCATATGTGCATCACTCCAGTGATGTTTTTCCAGCAAAGGAATACCCTGAAACGTGGGCTAACGTCACCTGTTGGCCAGCAGCTCGGACACGGTGCCCGAAGGCGACGTGAGCGTGATGGAGAGGTCGCCGCGGCGACCGTGACCGACGGTCAGACGGACGACCACGTGCTCCAGGTAGAGGACGCGGGCGGGGCCGGAGCAGCCGGCGGCCTCCAGGGCCGACGTCAGGCCCGAGCCCCGAGGAATGATCCTGTCAGAGAGGGATGAAGAGACCAGAGGTGAGAGGAGAGCAACACAGAGATGTTCAGTTACTAAGTAGAACTACTTAAGTGCTGTACTTAAGGACCAAAATGCAGTATCTGGACTTTATCGGTGTATATTTTTTTCCCTACTTTTACTTTTACTCCACTACATATTTTTGATTAATCTAATACTTTTCCTCCGATCGATTTTTCACGGGCTGAATCGTCACTCGTTACTGATATGTAAATGTAATGATCGATATCTCTGTCGGGGTTTGTGAAGCTGGCTTATCATTGGGCGATAGCCTATTTTTAAAAAAAAGCCTCCCAGAATATTGAGAAATCATGGCCTTCAAAAATTCCCCATCTATTCTGAAGAAGCATATCAAGGTAAGTTGAAAAATACATATAAGCATATAAGCTAGTAAATGAGCACTAGTTCAGTTCTCCCTGTTCACTCAGGACGTAGCAGCTAACGTTAGCTAAAGCTAATCTAGCTGGCTAGCTGTATGCTACATGCTAGCATAAAGGCTCAGCTCATGATTCTGACACTGGAATAATAAATAATAGTAGATGAGGTGCTGTTGATTGCTAATGCAGATATAGTTTTCTGTTTTTGTAAACACCTGTATGGTCTTTCACACATTCAAAATAATATAAACAATATCTATCACACTTTTGACTGCCTTTTTTTAATATACATAGTATTTGTACTTTTACTTATACTTGTACTTTCGATACTTTAGTAGCAATTTTTTAAATACTCCTACTTACAATACTTAAGTACAAAAAAAACTGAGTACTTCTGTACTTCCACTTAAGTATGGTGTTGAAAGAACACTTCTACTTTTACTCAAGTCATCTTTTTTATACAGTACTTGTACTTCTACTCCACTCCTCTACTCCAGTACTTTAAATATCTCTGGAGCAACACCAGAGACGATGACGCCCCGGTCCGGTCTGACCTGCTCTGTTTGGAAAGCGCTGTGAGACAACTGTTGTTGTGATGTGGCGCTATATAAATTAAATTGAATTGAATTGAATTAATTTTAATTTCGTAATGTCATTGTCTGAACGTGTGTTTGGACTGATTTTGTATTTTGTGATTTTGTGTTGTTTGGTCTTCCTGCCTCAGGACGACAGATGTAAACTAGCAACTATGCTAGAATCTGGCTCATTTACAATCTGTATGAGATTGTTCATTAATGTGCACTGTCCTGATTAAATAAATAAATAAATAAATAAACTGAGACGAGAATAGAAGAGGTGTGATGGAGGATACCCGTTCTCTGGGATACCTGCTCGGCCGGTTGGCGGCCTGCTCCACGCACTCGTTCTGGGGGGGGACCGGTCTCCAGCGCTCAGCCTCCCTCACCATGGCCGCCGCGTCCAGCAGGCCGAAGCCGTACAGGTGGCTCACTAACAAGCAGATAGACACCACGTCATTCGGGCTCAGAGCTAACTAAGAGGGGGAAAACGTGTAAAAAAGTCAAACCGGGAGAAAGTTCTGCTCACTGGATATAGAGGAAGAGCTGGAGGTAGCAGAGGATGCTGAAGGTGGATGGAAAGGCTCAGGAAGGAGTCCAGGTTAGAGGGGTTTAACCCTATAATGCCAAATGTATCATATTTGATAGATATGGTTTCTGAAGTCTTTTGAATCTGAGACTTTTTGCGTCATTCAGTGGTAAAAGCTTTGCTCAAACCCCTGTTGTACACATTCAGATATACCTGATAACAGCCAGTAGAAGACTACACCAAAATATATTTTTGACTTATTGCACGCTACTTTGATCAAAATAACTTTTAAGTTTTTTTCCTTTATATGTTGTTGAGGGGCCAAAGAAAGACTTCAGACTAAAAAAATCCAATATTCTTCCAATTTGGCTTTAAAGGGTCAAAGCCAGAGAGGCCATACTGAGCTGGTTTGGACGTGTTACGAACAGGAACAGAGGATATAAGGGGGTTGGGGGTTGGAGTTTCCAGGTAAAAAGAGAAGAAGAGGACTCAGAATCAGAATCAGAATCAGAAATACTTTAATAATCCCAGAGGGAAATGATTTAATTTGCTATCTAATGCTCTGCTTCATGTTTTCCCTCAAAACCAAAGACGATTGTTTCCTAAATGATGACTTTTTTAAACCCAGCAGAGGATCAGACCATCAGGTTTCTGGTTCGTGTTTAGAGGGGCTGAGTTCACCTTTGTGTCCGGCTCCGTTAACCTGCCAGTCGGGAGCTGAGAGCAGAGCTCTCGACGTCCGGACGATAATGTGCTGCACGTCCCTCCAGGTCAGAGCCGGGCTGCGAAGAGGCCAAACAGAGGGGAGGTCAGCTCGGTCTGTCTCCACTCGGCTGTGTGTCCGTCCGGTGGGGGGGCGAGCGGCTCACTTGGCCTCCAGAGCGAGGGCGATGATGCCGGCTGCCAGGGAGGAGGAGACGGAGGCCCCCGGCCAAGCCCTCATGCAGCTCTGCTGGGGCCCCACCGCCACCTGGGGAGGGAAACCAGGCAAGGAGAGTTAATTTGTACGGAACGTTTCGTGTACGAGACAATTCAAAGTGCTGCACACTGAGAATTTAAAGGAGACATATTATCGGATCTATATTTTTAAAGATTGTTCATTTGTACATTCGGATCTATATTTTTAAAGATTGTATTTTTCAGTTTTGTCATTTCTGTCCTATATTTTTATTCCTACATTTTATTTCTTGCTTCTCATAGAAGTGTTGTGTTGTGTTGTGCACCAAACTCCTTGTAAGTCTAAAAACCTACTTGGCAATAGACCTTATTCTGATTCTGATTCTGATTCTGATACCTTATTTCAACAAGTTAAACTAGTTCCCTGGTGTCCTAATGTAATGTCTGTGTCAAGCTTTGGTCAAAATCCCATAAGGATGAAGCCCAATAGCAGTTCAGTCCCCCTGCCTAACCCTAACCCTAACCCTAACCCTAACCCTAACCCAAAACAGCCCCGTTCAGAGCGCTCGCTTTGGAGTGCCTGTCTCTTTAAATGCAAATGAGACACAGGCAATCCACCCACTTCTTCCGGGAGGTGTGCCCACGTTGGCACGCTAACGCTACCATGCTAACGCAACCATGCTAACGCTACCATGCTAATGCTACCATGCTAACGCTAGCATGCTAACGCTCACGCTACCAGGACGTCTCCACAGATAGGGGAGTAAGCTGAGGGGGGGGGGCAACATGCAGGTGAAAGGCTGGAATATTATAATGAGCTAGAGCTAATGACGTCAGAAACTACCCACTCCTGAAACCTCCTGATTTATCTCCTGGATTCAGACTGAGGCGGCCCACAAAATATGACTGAGTCTTTTTTTTCACACTTTGCCTGCTGATAGGCCCTCCACAGTCCCAAATGTACATAATCAAATGATTAAAAATTTGTTTTTGCATAAAATGTCCCCTTTAAAAACAGAAAAACAAGAAAAGAAACATAATCAAAATTAGACAGATGAAAAGTGAAGGGTGTAGATAAAATACATTCAGTTTCCACATGGACAGTTACACAGAAGCATTTTCAGCCTGGATTTAAACATTGTCAGAGTTGGGTTCTGTCTCACATCTTCAGGAAGACTCCCAGATTTTAGGAGAATGGAGCTCAAATTAAGCTTCACCTTGTTTAGTTCTGACTCTGGGCCCCATCAGGAGACCAGAACCTGGTTTAGTTCTGACTCTGGGCCCCATCAGGAGACCAGAACCTGGTTTAGTTCTGACTCTGGACACCATCAGGAGACCAGAACCTGGTTCTCAGAGTCCGAGCTGGCACATCTGGCTCTAACATGTCAGAGAGGTATTTCGATGCTTGCCCATGAAGAGACTTGTAACAAGCGGGGCTGTTTAAGAGTCTTTTCTCTGACAGGAAGCCAGTGGAGAGACCTGAGCACTGGCCTGATATGGCCGTATTTCCTGGTTCTGGTCAGAACTCTGGTCAGCGTCTCAGAGCTGGGCTTTTTTTCCTCTCACAAGTCAAGTGGATGTATCATTATGGCCAGTGGTTCTTCAACATTTCAGCCCATGATTCCTAAAAAGTGACCCGGTAATATTCCTGTGTTCCGGGCTGTTGGTCGGCCGGTTTAGGGTTTGAGTTTTGGACACCATCTCCATGTCTGCTCGTTATCTTTTATCCGGATGGTCGACGGGGGCCAGAGCTGGTTCAACTTTACATTTCCAGCTCTTCAAAGTTCAGCCGAGGCGTGAGAAGAGGATTTCCTGTGGCGCTGCGAACGGAAGCCCTGGAAAGCGTGCTGTCATTGGCTGGTTTAGGGCGGGGGTGGCCCTAATTTAACATCTGTTTCTATATGCTAACAGGAATTATGTCCTCAATGGGATTCTTCATGAAATCATCTTTGGCTTCTGCAGTCTGCAGTTTGCTAAAACATCGGATCCCATTCCCCCTCCCTTTTTGTGTGGTTATCTATTTGTAATACACATGATATCATTTTTTAATCTATTTTTCGTGCAGCTATTTATTTTTTGCAGTGCTTTCAGTCCATCAAACCAACATGTCCTTCAGCCTCCACCATTCTGCAGAATGTGCTCGTTTTCAACAGGTTTGAAGTATCTTTGCGAGTTGGGGCTACGTCACAGAAACACACACACAAACACACACACACACACACACACACACACACACACACACACACACACA